GGTGGAGAGGTGTTGTCGTAATAAATGCTGTGATGGGCTGCATTAATGGTGATGTGCAGTGGCAATAACTTTGCAGATCTTTGTCTGCTGATGTGGCTCGTCCTTCACCTGCCAGGTGTCTGAATGTCATTGGCTCTTTATGCCATGTTGGATTCCAACTGTTCTGGACCTCACCAGCTGGGTTATGTATTGGGCTCTAAGTGATGGGCTTGGGTTGTTTATAGTAATTCATGGCCTTTATGGGCTTATACATGTCAGTAGTCCCCCATTCCCGAGTGCAACTTTAGTCCAACGAAGGGAATATTAATGAAGAAGATAAGGGTGTTAGGGATTGGCAGGATGGAGGTCGACCGGCAGGGGTGACCGAGAGGGTGAACTGATCGGGAGGTGGTTCAACCGTGCAGGGTGACCGAGTGGAAGGGCCGACCACGAGGAGGGCCGACCGCGAAGGTTGGCCAAGTGGGAGGGTTGACCTCGAGGAGGGCTGACTGCGAAGGGGGTCGACCGCGAAGGTTGGCCGAGTGGGAGGGCCGACCACGAGGAGGGCCGACCGTGAAAGGTGACCGAGTGGGAGGGCCGACCACGAGGAAGGTCGACTGCGAAGGGCGAGGTGGAGGGGCGTGGGCTCGAGAGGCAGCGTGTCACGTGGTGATTTGAAGTGGAAAAGACAAGGTAAGGGAAGGAGACAGTGGATCGTGGTCGTACATGTGGCAACATCCCGCCGGGGGGGGGGGAGATTAGGTGTTGGATCAGAAATGAAACGATAGGTCATTATGGGTGTTGAAAAGACAGTTTTAGCGGATGTTTTGAAAAGTTTTCAAACTGGCGAAAATTAATTGTGACCCTTGGAATACGGGTAAGCCTTGGGCTTTTGGGATTATTCAATTCGCCTACTTGTTTGCAAAAAATAAAAACATCCCAAGTGTTAACTCCTTTGTTGCTCACGATACACCTCTGCAACACTTTTTCGATTTCCTTGTACCCGCATCTGAAGCGATTCGCAGACATACCATAGAAATGGCCCAAGAAGAAGCTGCGAATGCCAGGGTGGATCTGCTTGGTGATGACGATGCAGTGGAGTTAGCGGAGCAGTATAGGACGGAGAGGCAAACGGAGAGGGTGGGTGAGCCGGTGGTACGATCTTATGTCTCCACCGTAATGGCAGCTCCGAAGCCAATCAGCCAGGTGGAACTAGATCACTGGCACACAAAGGCTGACAAATCAACGGTTACTGCAGCAGATTTGGAGCCTATTCGTGAAAAATACCAAGTGCCTGCTGAAATAGAGTTATTGTTGTCGATGTCGACGGAAAGGCTATCCGACGCTAGGCCAAGGGAGTTTGCCCTTTATGAGGAAGCATTGAAGGGATGACTGAGGCTGCCCCTACCGCAAGTGGTGGTAGATGTCCTGAATCGTTTGGAGGTAGCACCGGGCCAACTAAAGCCCAATGCGTGGGAGATCGTACTGGCCTGTGCAAGTGCGTGGCTGAAGGCGAACGAAGGGGCGGCCATGACAGTAGACGAATTCTTCGCATGTTACAAGGCCTCAGGGCAGCAAGGGACTTGGGTCACTCTGCAGGCATCAGCAGGGAAAGGGCTGGTGGTGGGGTTGCCGTCGTCGATCAAGGGGTGGAGACCACGGTGGTTCTATGTGTCCGCCAGTGGAGGGGTTGGAGTGCGCACCATTTGGAAAGTGCCCACCAAGTCTGTGGAGCCAAAGTTGGGAGCAGCAGCAGATGAGAGAATAAAGAGGGCAAAGGCGTGGCAGGAGAAGGAGGGGGTCAGGTGGGACGAACTCGTTCAACCCTCAGCCTTGTTTGGAGCGGGGTTGGGTCCTCAGCCGAGCGGGGGAGATATGGGGCGAGCTGAACTGGAGGCAAGGAGGAAAGTGCAGGAGGCTAAGGATAGGGCCATGCTGGCCAAGGCCACGAAATTTAAGGAGGTGCAGGAAGACCGACCGCCTAAGCCGATCGCGCGAGAGAGGATCTGACCGCGCCCCAAGTCGCTGGGGGGGAAGAACTTAGGCAGTTTTGTGCCACGACTGCCCCCAGTGGATCCTGTGAAAGAGCAGGTGAACAAGGAAGAGAAGGCTCTGAAGAAGAAAAAGAAGAAGAGGAGTGCCCTTGAGGGGGCTGCAGATTCGCTTGGGTTAAAGAAAGCGAAGGTTGGGGGGGAAGACACCCCTGTGGTCAAGGAGGCAGAGAAGGGAGCAGTGGAGGAGACCCCAGGAAGGATGGCTGCCCAAGAAGTGGAGGTCACTCCAACATTGGAGGTTATGGAGGTCGCCCCAGCAGTGGTGGAGATTGCCTCAGGGGTCGCGAAGGTCACCCCCGAAGTGCAAGCAGAATGTGGGGCAACAGGCCCTGAGCCAAGGGGAGGAGAACAGTCCCAAAGCGGTCTTGTGCCCCAAGGAGAGGGGGTCAGTATGACGACTACAATCTACCACGCTCGCGCAGTGGCTGGGCGGCTGGAGGGAGAAGAGGGCCCAGCTAGGGTAGGAGCAGATCGCCTTGTGGGAATTGCGGAAGAGGTAGCCTTGCGCTCAGCAGCCAGATTTAATGAGGCTGAGCTGTTGAGGGGGTTATGCTCTGCTCAAATGAAGGTAACCACCTTAGCAGGGGCTCTGTTGAGAAAGGCGAGGGCTATAAAACTCAAGGCAGATGAGGCCAAGGCTCAACTTGCAAGGTT